GGAGGGTCAGAGGGAGAAGCAGACTCCCCGCCGAGCAGGGAGCCCGATGCGGGACTTGATCCCGGGACTCCAGGATCATGACCTGAGCCGAAGGCAGTCGCTTAACCAACTGAGCCACCCAGGCGCCCGAATAAAATAAAATCTTATGGGCGCCTGGGTGGCTCAGTGAGTTGAGCATCCCACTCTTGGTTTTGGCCCAGGTCACGATCTCATGGGTCCTGAAATCAAGCCTCATGGGTCCTGAAATCAAGCCGCATCAGGCTCCATGCTTAGGGGGGAGTTTGCGTGAAAGATTCTCTCTGCCGTTCCCCCCACTCAAGTGTGTGCACACTTTCTTTCTCTCTCAAAATAAATAAATAAATCTTCAGAGAAAACTTAAAAAAATAATGAAGCAGAAAAAAAACCTCACTGTACCACCTTTACCAGACCGTAATAGCCTTCAGGAGGGAGGGAGCTGCAGAGCCATTCATGGGGTAATAAGCATACATACCAAGTCAAGACTTTGGGCAAATCACTGAATCTGTGGTGTTTGTAAGGTGAAGACACAATAAAAATAATATACTACTAATAAAAAGGAAATACTAAACATTCACTATGTGGCTGGAATTACTGTAAACCTTTACATGTACTGGGATGCCTGGGTGGCTCAGTTGGTTAAGTGTCTGCCTTTGGCTCAGGTCATGATCCCAGGGTCCTGGGATGGAGTCCTACACTGGGCTCCTTGCTCAGCGGGAAGCCTGCTTCTCCCTCTCCCTCTGCCTGCCACTCCCCCTGCCTGTGCTCGCTCTCTGAATACATAAAATGAATACATTTTATGAATGAATACATAAAATCTTTAAAAAAAAATGAATACATAAAATCTTTAAAAAAAAAAAAAAGACCTTTACATGTACTACTTAAAATCCTTTCAATCTCACAGATTAGGAAATATAAAGGATCATGGGGCACATGGCTGGCTCAGTCGATTGAGCATCCCACTCTTGATTTTGGCTCTGACTCTTGATTTGGTCCTGATCTCAGGGTTGTGAGATAGAGTCCTGGCATCAGGCTCTGTGCTGGGCGTGGAGCCTGCTTAAGATTCTCTCTCCCTCTCCCTCTGCCCCTCCCTCCCTCCCTCCAAAAAAAAAAAAAAGGAAATGAAATGTAAAGGATCAAATATGTGAGAATAATTTGCAAAGAAAAAAGTCACTACAGAACTAAGAGTTATTTTTAAAAGTTGTGACTTATTAAGACACCTAAGCTCCAAGAGCTGGATTCCCACAGTGAGACAGAGAGAGGAGCTGGGAAGTCTGGTTCAGGGAGCCAAGATACTCACTTCAGTCCCCTAATTCCCAGCCACTTAAGTCCTTCTATCTTTTGGATCACATCTCAAAGCTTCCAAAGCAACAGAAATGGATGGGGGAGAGCATTATACTCACGTGAGCATTGAGGGCATCATTGGCCTCCCTCTCTGAGACACCAGTAGTCATCGATGTCACAATGCTCATGCATCTTTCTAACCTCTGTAAAGGGGTGAGAAAAAGTTCAGAGTGTGTCACACCACCACCTGCAAAGTATTTCTGACCCCAAAAAGGTTTTCAGGAAATTTAAACCTCATCATACCTCTAGATCTAACTACCAGTTTACAAGTAAAGTTATACAGGATATAATCAGCTAAGTCCAGAGGGTGGAAACCATGACATGTAACCTGATTCTTTAACACACAAATTGCAAGGCAAAAAAGCAGGGAGGGGGAACCCACATATTAAAAGAGGCTTAAGATTATAATTATAGCCCACGGGGGGGAGGGGGCGCTCAGTCATTAGAGTATTCGACTCTTGATCTCGGAGGTCATAAATTCAAGCCCCATGTTGGGTGTAGAGCTTAGTGGGCAAAAAAAAAAAAGAGGGGCACCTGGGTGGCTCAGTCGTTAGGCTTCTGCCTTCGACTCAGGTCATGATCCCAGGGTCCTGAGATCGAGCCTCGCATAGGGCTCCCTGCTCAGTGGGGAGCCTGCTTCTCCCTCTCCCACTGGCCCTGCTTGTGTTCCCTCTCTCGCTGTGTCTCTGTCAAATAGATAAATAACATCTTTAAAAAAAAATTTAAAAAAGATTATAACCCACTGAATAAAATAGGAATCCATGCTAAAACATACATACATAATAAATAATGAAGGGAAAGCTCTCCCTTATAGTGGAATGCCAACCAATAAATGCGTAAGGAACAACAGGAGCAAAAATGATTCCGGCAAATATCATCAGTGGACACTAAACCAGAGGTGAAACTGCACAAGAGGATATTTATGTGGGTTCAAAATAATTACAAAGGGGAAAGAAATTCTGGAGGATATCACGTTAACCAAGTAATCAAAATTAATAACCTCAAAAGGAGACAAACTGACTCCTGACACTACATGCCTCAACAGGGTGCACTGGAAAGGCTGTAACAGTACTTGTATGGTTTTCTGGCCCAAAAATGAATAATTTCAATCTAATCATGGAAGAAATTTCAGACAACCCAATTTGAGAGATACTCTACAAAATAACTGACCTGTCCAAAGTGTTTAAGGTCATGAAAGACAAAGAAAGATTAAGAATCTGCTTCAGGTTAAAGAGAGAGTGCACCTAAACTCAACTTGTGATCCTGGACTGCTATATGGACATTATTGGGACAACTGGTAAAATCTGAGTATGTTCTGTAACAGAAGCATATTGATGTTAAATGTTCTAATCCTGACAACAGAGCAGTAGTTATGTAACTGAAGATCTTTGTTCTTAGGAAATACACAATGAAGTATTTATTTATTTATTTGACAGAGAGAGAGATAGCGAGGTCAGGAACACAAGCAGGGGGAGTGGGAGAGGGAGAAGCAGGCTTCCCGCCAAGCAGGGAGCCTGATGCGGGGCTTGATCCCAGGACCCTGGGATCATGACCTGAGCCGAAGGCAGACGCCTAACGACTGAGCCACCCAGGCGCCCCCACAATGAAGTATTTAAACCCTCATGGCTGCCACTTACTGTCAAAAGGTTAAAACAAAATGTGTACAGAGAAATAATGTTAATAACTGGTGAATCTGGGTGAAGAGTATATGAGAGTTCTATGTATTATAATATTTCTCTAAGCTTGAAATCATTTTAAAATAAAAAGCTGTTAAAAATTTAAAGAAACAGGGGCGCCTGGGTGGCTCAGCTGTTAGGTGTCTGCCTTCGGCTCGGTCGTGGTCCCGGGGTCCTGGGATCAAGCCCCGCATCGGGCTCCCTGCTCCGCGGGAAGCCTGCTTCTCCCTCTCCCACTCCCCCTGCTTGTGTTCCATCTCTGTCTGTCAAATAAATAAAATCTTTAAAAAAAAAAAAAAATTTAAAGAAACACTGAGGCACCTGGGTGGCTCAGTGGGTTAAGTGTCTGCCTTCAGCTCAGGTCATGATCTCAGGGCCCTGGGATGGAGCCCTGCATCAGGCTCCCTGCTCCCTGGGGAGTCTGCTTCTCCCTCTTCTTCTCCCTCGGCCCCTAACCCCACTTGTGCTCTCAATAAATAAAATATTTTTTTAAAAAATTAAAGAAACATAATGGGGTGCCTGGGTGGCACAGTTGGTTGAGCATCCGACTCTTGGTTTCAGCTCAGGTCATGATCTCAGGTTGTAGGATTGAGCCCCGCTTGGGCTCCCTGCTCAGTGGGGAGCCTGTTTCTCCCTCTCCCTCTGCTGCTCCCCCTAATTGTGCTCTCTTGCTCTGTCAAATAAATAAAATCTTAAAAAAAAAAAGTGCCCCCCAAAAAGTTAAAAACAAATTTAAAAAAATGAGCATGAGGAAAGAAAAGGAGAACAAAAGGCCAAACTGCCTGAGCCTCTGGACAAAGGTGGGGATAGTTGCATTAAAGTCCACCCAAGAGGCATTCTAGTTTCAAAGGCCAACTCTAACATGACACATGCTCAATATTCTAAGGAGATCTTAGTCACGGGTTCCTGTCCTAAAGAAACATTTAATACTAAATACTGAGGAGATACTGACAAATATATCTCATATTAAATCCGTGAGCCTCTCCATTATCACCACTGAAACTACTTCCTGAGTCTTTTAAAACTTTATCTTTAGGACTAATCCCAAAACTATTTAAGGAAAACCAATTCCCAATTCCCAGTAATGGTGATGCTGGCAAAATGGACAAAGGTAGGCAGTTTACTTCCCACTAATCCTACAGGTCATTACAAAACATCTTGCTGAGAAGAGGTTCTACTGCAGTGTTGAGAGGAACCCATATGTAAGGACAATGGAAAAGAGGTGTAAGGGGGCGCCTGGGTGGCTCAGTCGTTAGGCGTCAGCCTTCAGCTCAGGTCATGATCCCAGGGTCCTGGCATCGAGCCCCGCATTGGGTTCCCTGCTCCACGGGAAGCCTGCTTCTTCCTCTCCCACTCCCCCTGCTTGTGTTCCCTCTCTCACTGTGTCTCTCTCTGTCAAATAAATAAAATCTTTAAAAAAAAAAAAAAAAGAAAAGAGGTGTAGGAATGAAAGATAATCCTGTGTCTCCCTTCACCATCATCCTAAGGTTGCCTATATCCATCCCTGACCAAGAGCATAAGGTGGCACAGAGGAGAACTGAGTATTAAGGCAAGGAGCTCCCACAGTCACAAAACTTTGACTTACATTAGGCCCAAAGCCATTCAGATTTGAAGGTATTACAATTTCATTGCCCATCAGGTCTGACTAGCCTCCAAATTAGGTCAGATAAGTACACTCTGCCTTAACAGCACCTGTGTACTTGTGAAAAGGAGCTGTGAGATCACATGAAAGCTGAGCTGTGAGATCCAACACTACCTAGTCCAGCTCCCACATGAGCAGGAGAGGGAAGGAAAAACATCAGGTTGTATTTTCCCTTTTTAAATTGTATCCCTCTCGGGACACCTGGGTGGCTCAGTCAGTTAAGCATCTGCTTTCAGCTCAGGTCATGATCCCAGGGTCCTGGGATCGAGTCCCCTTTCAGGCTCCTTGCTCAGCAGGGAGCCTGTTTCTCCCTCTGCCTCTGCCTGCTGCTCCCCCTGCTTGTGCTCTCTCTGGCAAACAAACAAACAAATAAATTGTATCCCTCTCTAACCCAAGATAGCTATCAGTGATTAGAGAATCAGTTCCTCCAGCAGCTAAGTCCCGCTTACCCAGCGCAGGTGAACAAGCAGCAGCACAGCATCCTAAAATTCTAGATATTACTTTCTACTCAAAGGAAGAGGTCTCTGCTGAATCAACAGAGATGCAAGCAGTAAACAGCAGCTAGCTAATGAGCACACTGACAAGCATGGTATAGAAGGATCCCCCCACTACGTGCTAGTCTTAAGCTAATCTTGGGTGAGTTCCTTAGCCTCTCTAAACCCTGGTTTTTCTTATCTGAAAAATAGAAATAGGGGCGCCTGGGTTGTTCAGTTGGTTGGGTGTCTGACTCAATTTCAGCTCAGATCATGATCTCAGGGTCCTGGGACTGAGCCCCATGTCAGGCTCCGCACTCAGCAGGGAGTCTGCTTGAGATTCTCTCTCTTCCACTCCCTCTGCCCCTCCCCCACTCATGCTCGAGCTCCCATGTTCTTGCATTCCTCTCTCTCACAAAATTAAATTTTTTTTTTAGATTTATTTATTTATTTTGAGAGAGCGTGAATGAGAGAGAGAGAGAGAGTACATGAGTGGGGGAGGGTCAGAGGGAGAAGCAGGCTCCTCGCTGAGCAGGGAGCCCGATGCAGGACTCGATCCCGGGACTCCGGGATCATGACCTGAGCCGAAGGCAGTCGCTTAACCAACTGAGCCACCCAAGCGCCCCAAAATTAATTTTTTTAAAAACCCTATTCCTATTACACAAGATAACATATGTGAAAACATCTAGCATACAGTCTCAGTTAAATTATAATCTGTTCTGGGGCGCCTGGGTGGCTCAGTTGGTTAAGCGACTGCCTTCGGCTCAGGTCATGATCCTGGAGTCCCTGAATCAAGTCCCGCATCGGGCTCCCTGCTCGGCAGGGAGTCTGCTTCTCCCTCTGACCCTCCCCCCTCTCATGTGCTCTCTCTCTCATTCTCTCTCTGTCAAATAAATAAATAAAATCTTAAAAAAAATAAATTATAATCTGTTCCATTTGTGAAAAAGCTCAGCAACTGCACAACCAAATCTATGAAGAACAGACCACTCCCCAACATCTGCTACTACTTCCTTTTTTTTTAAAGATTTTATTTATTTATTTATTTGAGAGAGAGAGAGAGAGAAACAGCATGAGAGGGGAGAGGGTCAGAGGGAGAAGCAGGCTCCCCACCGAGCCGGGAGCCCGATGTGGGGCTTGATCCCAGGACTCCGGGATCAGGACCTGAGCCGAAGGCAGTTGCTTAACCGACTGAGCCCCCCAGGCACCCAATCTGCTACTACTTCTAATGGCATGTCCTTGAAGATTCCTGAAAACTGAGCCCTCCTACTATAGGACACGGGTTAAGTCCCTGACCAGGCTGAAAAGCTTCCTCTCCTAATTACCCTCTGTAAACGTTTGCCTTCTAGGAGAGA